AAAAGTACCAAACCCTTTTTGTGGGCTGGGTAGGTGTGACGGGGATGAATGGAGAAGAAGATGAATAGTGTTTTTGTTTTTTGATTTAGTTATTGATATATTATAACTATGTTTTTTGTTGAAAAATGTGAAGTTACCATTTTATCCTTTTAAAATTAGTCAAAATTATGGTCAATGTTAATTTTTTGGTCAACTAACAGTGAAATTAACAGTTTTCATCCCTTTGGACTTCAATTGCGAATTTTTGAAATGTTAGGTATCGTGGGTAGCACAAATGAAAGGTTTGGGTCAAGTTTGCTAATAAATGAAAGGTTTGATATCTCGACTGCAATTTTCCCATATAAGAATGCGTTAATCCCTAGGTCATAGCAAGAATAGACTGTTTGCACTTGCACTTTGTAGTATTAAAAATTAAGTTTGACAGATGATCAATCAAAATACAAGCATCTCTATTAAGAATAGAGAATATACCCATAATAATATTTAGTGACTCCCCTGTCAACTACTGAGTCATAGCAAAAACCTTTCCCTGGGTCTTGAATCGTCTTACGTGATCCTTTAGTTTAGTACCACTACCACTTGCAATATTGGATCAGATCCACAGATAGCACTTGCTCTGTTAGTCGAAGCATCTCTTTGAATTTTACTCTATCTTGTATTATCAAAATCTACTGAGAAAGTATCCTTTGTAACATGCTACTCTCTTATGATAAAATTGGACAATTTCTTTTGAGTTGTCTGCCCTGGTCATAATGATAATAGATACCAACTCTCTCGAACTTTGAACACTCTTTGGGATTATATCATGTACATAACTCATAATATGGAAATCTAGCATTACTGAAGTATCACAATGTCTAGGGATAAATGATTGTTGAAAAGAATCTTAAGAATGAGGACGGCTAATCAATGGCTGCTGTACAGTACTATGACTAAATTAAGGACCTAAATTTTCCCCTGCTCCGGGCTTGAATTGACCTGAATTGGACATACCAAGTCGAAATTCTCTACTATTCTTTTGTGGCGATCTATAGTTAGAAGTAACTGTCAACATCTAACTATTTCTTTTTTTTCTAAACTTTGTCTGTTCTCTACCAATTGGTCCATAAGAAATACTTACCTCTACTCACAAAGCTAATTCAACCAATTTGCCAAATTCGTTCCAACTTGCGGCTGTTATTGCTGACCTAATCTCTTCTCTTAACCCATTTTCAAAGCACCTACATTTATCAATTTCATTGCTAACAAAAACTTGAGCATACTTTGAAAGTTCAATGAATCTCATCTGATATTCTGCAACAGTCATCTGCCCTTGAACTAACTTCAAAAATTCATCTTGCTTTACATTTTTATATGAATGGGGATGATAAACATCATAAAAAATATGTTTGAAATATATCCAAGAGATAATAAAAGGGCCCCTATATGTACTCTATACTGACTACCACTAATCATATACATATTCTTTTAACAAATAAATGGCAAGACACAACTTTTAAACATCTGGTCAACCCATAACATCAAATACCCTTTCTATCTTGATCATCCATGCCTAAGCTACAGCAAAATTGGCTGTACCTGTGAAAATTTTAGCTCCTAATTTTGTAGCCCTCTCAATAGTGAAATCTCAGTCCCTACTACGCATAACAGAAGCAACCATAGTAGCAATTCTTTCAACAGCTATAGGATCATTTCTAATCACATTTTCCTATCCCTGCTCTTCAAGAGGCTGGTGAATTGATTTATCTCCTCCCTTGAACTCTCTAGGTTTATCTCTATCTGGAGCAATGTGAGAGTGGCAGCATATCTCGAAGCTTTCGAGTTCTACCATCATGAGGCATGATCACCTACATTTATGCATGTTATGCTAAATATTAGAATGTTTGTGCAAATACAAGCCTATAGACTCTAAAACATGCTTTGATACCAAAACTGACACGTCCCTCTCCATATAATGCTAGTGGACTTGGAACATAACGTGCGCTGATTATAGATACCAACTGAAAGTTGGATCCACCATCAAGGCTATTACAATATGCAATGTTTTATAAATTATTTTTAATAGAATTTTGACATTATTTCTCCTGTATATATGACTAACCAACTTGTAATCCATTATGCACAAATCCTAAAAATAACACAACACAATAGAGGTAGCTGAAATTTCAACTTTTACTATGAAAATAGCATGAAATGTGCATATAGATGCCAAATACATAGTGAGCTCTATAGCTATATATAAGTCATGCAAAATGACATCTAAAAATAAACGTGTCCTAAAACACTGAATGCAAGCTCTATGAAATGAGTTATACGAGCAAACTCTATTGTGTGAGTGTCTCCAAAATTAAGGCTCAACTTCAGAGATGCTCAGGACTCAACCACTACTTGTTAAGAAAATTATGAGAAAATATATAAGTTGATAGCTCAGTAAGTGGAGAAATTCGAAAATAATTATACTTCTTCATTTATATATTTCTATCAAAATCAAGTTTACATCACTTAATAGGTCATGATATAACATTATATAATAATAGTCAAGATAGGAAACATACTTGTAATACTGAAAAATATCATCTCGTAGATTATGAGAAAATCATCAATGTTAGCTTGAAATATTTTCATTTGAAACTTTCATTTTTATTGGGCCCTTGACACGTTTACTAGGTACCGAATAAAGATCTGTGTAATATTAATATCAGTAATCAATAATTAACTAGGAATATTTGAGTGGCCCATCCTCCGTGATCATCAAAGGTATATCCCCTGACAGCCCTATGATCACTCAAGAAGTATCCCACCCGAGATGCCAATAATCACAATATCACAGTTGAGTGGACCATCCTCCTGTGATCACTAGAGGTACATCCCTTGACGGCCCATGATCACCCCAAGAAGTATTCTATCCGAGTGCCAATAATCACCATATCACAACGGCACGAGCAAGTGATCATTCGTCTCCATGATCACCAAAGTTACGCCGCCTAACTATCCTTACGATCACCCGAGAAGTTTCACCTATGGTCAACACAATGTATGCCTCACATGCCTTGGTGGCCTAGTAGTGATCAATAAAACATATCATATTCTAATTCACAAGTAATCCACATTTATCATAGTGAGAGAACACTTTATAATAATAATGGTATTGAAATAATTCATATAACCCCACGTAACATAATAGTATAATCAATATAGCAATACTTGAAAAAATTTAAGTTTCTCCACTCACGAAACTACGTATGCAAAATCAACTCGGTTGGTAGTTGTCCCGATCTCCATATTGTTTTCTGAAATATGATATAATTTTTAGATTAAAAATTAACCATTTTAAGTAACTTCAATAATTAAATAGGCAATACAAAGTCTAAATTGTTTTATACTTAAAGCAATTTTCCAAATTTCTTTAATCACTTGAGCTATTTTTATCCTATAACTTAATTTCATACCTTACTATATTTAATTCAATAGTTTCATTTCAATAAAATTGAATTTAAATTAATAATCTAACAACTCTAAAATTGAACATAGTTATTCAATAAGTAATCTTTTACTTACCTTTGAATTGAAGAATTCAAACTTAATAGTAGAAAACACTAATTTCTAACAACGTTGGCGAACTTTCCTATTTTTTCTTTTTTCTTTTTTCCCTTTCCTTTCTCGGATTCTCTCTGTGTGTGTATGTTTGTGTGTGAATACCGAATAGATTGTGTATAAATGGATTAGAATGAAATGGATTTAATTAATATATACACAATCAACCGCTGCCCACACTTCCCAATTTTGTTTGCTTTTAGTTTCATATTTTTATTTGGTTAGCATGACATATTTGACCTCAAAATTGAATGTTGACTAATTTAATTTGATAAGTTACGTATTACAAAATACTAAGGGTGTGTTTGATTGCACATATTTTCCATGGAAAATGGGTTTTTTCCACCTAATTTTCTACTATTGTCTGGTTTGATTGACAATTTTTTCTAAGGAAAATATTTTCCTTCTTTTGGTCACGTGACCACATTTTCCCTGAAAATAAGGAAAATATTTTCCTTAGGGGGAGGTGGATTTTATTTTCCATGGAATTTTATCTCTCCAAAAATTCTAGTAACCAACCCACGTTAATCTCTCTCTCTCTCATCCCTACGTTAAAAATATCTCTCTCTCTCTCTCTTCTCTCTACCCACTTACAAATCTCTACCCTCTCTCTCATCAATTCAACCGAGCCTGAGGAAGAACTCGACGATTCTGTGCTTCCAGAGCTGGGTAATCATTCCAAGAATCTGGGTTTATGGTATTTTCTCGATGACTTTGACAATCATCGCCGCCTAGAACTCACCGACTTACGAAGCTTTCAATTTCCACAAGGATTGTAACGCAAATTTGACCATTCAGATCAATACGGTAAGTTTATCTGGCCGTTTATATCCCCTTTAATTGTCTATAAATTGGATCGCGTAGCCTTGTTCATCAATCATTAGGAAGCTGGTGGTCCGGGTTGGTATTATTTTTCGGTGTTGCTGTTGTTATCGGTGGTCATGTGTCATTGATTGCAATTATTGGATTGAGCATAGGAAATTCGATTGTACTGATTGCTGGTCGCTTTCCATCGTTTAGCTTATCGTCGCCTCCCTATCTAAGGGAGAATAGTCTCTCATCTTTTGTTTGTTAGTTTGGATTTTAGAGAACTGGATGACTATAATTTCATTGTTTACTGATGATGTTTTCTGTAAAAAGTGAGAACTTGATATATTTTCCTTGCATTGATATGTAAACAGCATTTGATTGAGATGAGAACATTAAGACGGGTTTCTAGTATAACAAGAAGGTAAATAGATGAATTGGTGAATATGGCATCTATGAAGGATAAGTTGAGAGAGGATCAGTTAAGATGGCTTTGGACACCTTCAAAGAAGGATATGCCAGATTCACCACATTTGAGAAGTGATGGAATTATTAATAATGATAAGCTCAGTGAGCCTTAATATTGTCTATCTGGGAAATATTTATATCCTCTGCTTAATTTCAAAACTTCACTCTATCTTATTCCCAGTATGGTGAATAAACTATTGTTGGTCCCTAGTGAAGTAATTTACTGCCACTATGAACCAACTTTTTTTCCCGACTTGAGAAAATTTCTGCACCTCAAAGAGGAAGCTTATGGAAGAGGTTCAGTCTTACCGTCTCAGTTCTTGTTAATATCATCTTTCCTTTTTCTCTGTGACTCGTAATTTTTGGTTGAACCATGCTTTAAAAGCCACTCTATTTGAAGGTGATATATGTTGATATCAGTTTAGGTGTAAAAGAACTCTACAAAAATTAAAGTATCGAGATCCTTAAAAAACAGAGGTCTTGAATTCTCAAACATTGAAGACGTTCAGAAACACTAGTTGATGCCTGAAGAAAAAAGAAGTTAAAATAGTCGTTAGTATTTAAACTATCCAACCGGGTGCTTGTTTATGTTTTCACAAAGTTTACCAATTGATACCAAGTCATAGGTTATGTGAGATTCCTTGTACAGTTTCATACCATTTTCGTCCAATTCAAGTTTAATTTGAACAATTCTTATCATGATCATGCAATTTTGACAATTGTGCCTCCATGTCAAATATGTGCTTTCTAAGTTGAATGAGTGGTATTATAAAACAGTTGTGTAAAAATGAGAGAGTGGCATGTCATTGAAGTCAAGAAAGAGGCTCATGTTGCCCTCTCCACGAGCCCAGCTTCGATCTTCACCAAAAAATTCAGCATCAACTTCTTGTTTGGCCTTCAGAATGTCCTCTGGGATGATAGCCACCTATGGAAAAATAAACAGCCATATCAGACCCATGAAAAAGGGAAATGAAGAACAATAAATCCTAATGCATCTCCCACAGAAAGTTGAAAAGAGACCACTTCATTTTGTGTGAGTGAGGACATGTTCAAGACTAGATTTAAGTGAATAAACGTGTCACTCTTTAACGACATTGACATATTTTAAGGCAGATTTTATCATTTCTAGTTTATAATCATCTCACTGTGTTGGAGACAGTTATTTTATTGCTTAGATTTTATTGTACCTATTATTAATCTCTGATTAGAGAGATAGTTGAAGATTTAGAAGTAGCTTAACAATTTATGTCCTTGGGTTTATGTTCTTGATTCTATTAATTGGGGGATTACTGTGGTGCGAATGAGTTAGGGAAGCATGAAATTGAAAAAAATGATTTTAAGAATTCTAATATAACCAGTTGACATTATGCTTGGAAGTGCATGCCATGACTTTCTATTATGAGGTAGCTACAGTTAACTTTTTATTCTATAATGCTTTTATGTTATTCTTTCTAAACAAATTTTTATTTACCGTGGTAGTTTATAACATGGCTACAACAATGAATCAACGTCGATGCCGACGACAACATTTAAGTATATTTTGGACGATGGTCATGCAAGCGATTGTGATATAACAAACTTAGGCGTCGTGCACGACATCTTCCAAGAGCTCCTCATACAAATTGGAATTCTGAAAGAGAAATAACACTTACACGAATGTTTGGCACGAGTGATACAATATGTCGTGATCTCCTTAGGATGAAAATAGGTCCATTTCAAAGATTATGTGCTCGTTTGCGATCTTATGGATTGGTTGACAGTAAATACGTTCGAATTGAGGAACAATTCGCAATTTTTTTGAATACAGTCGGGCATGACCAACGTGATCGCGCTGGACGTTTTACTTTCTTTCGCTCTGGTCAAACAGTGAGCTTTTACTTTCACAGAGTCTTACACGCTTGTCTTGGATTGTATAGAGATGTTGTGATTAATGCCACTCCTCATAACTCACCATACGAAAAAGAAAATGTGCAGCCATGATACTCCTTTTTTCAAGTTAGTGGTTTGTAGTTATTTCATCACATTTCTTAAAAATTCAATTTCACATTTATTTTGAAAAGTATTGTTTTTTAAAGGATGTTGTAGAAGCAATCGATGGTACACATATAGCTGCGTATGTGCCTTTAGAGGAGCAAGGTAAATATCGCAATAGAAAGCAAGTGATTTCCCGAAATGTTTTAGTAGCTTGCACATTTGATATGAAATTTACCTACGTGCTTGCCGGTTGGGAGGGATCCGCACATGACGGTCGATTGCTACGGAGTGCAATATTACGCCAAGGACATAAGCTAACAATTCCTATTGGTAAGTTGTGTCACTATTTTGAAAATATTTCTTCAACGCATAAGTTATAATTACCTAACTACCATCTTATGAACGACTCTTTCCTAGGTAAATATTACCTTGTTGACGCTGGCTTCCCATCGGTTTCGGGTTTTCTTGCACCATACCGTAGGACTCGTTATCATCGTAGAGACATTGAAGGTCAACGTCCTGAAAGTAGCAAGGAGTTGTTCAATTTTCGACATTCATCTCTACGCAATGTTATTGAGCGTACAATTGGTTTGCTGAAAAAAAAGATTTGAATATTGAGATATCAACCCTATCACGGCATTGACACACAAGCAAAGATATTCCTTGCCTGTTCTGCCATCCACAACTTCTTAAGGATTGATGATGTTGAAGATGTATGTGAGGAGGACGACTTAGATAGTAGTGACGATGAGGTTAACCCTACGCATATTAATGTACTTGAAAATGAAACTCCAAATGCTCACATATCTTTCACAAATCAGGAAGTGTGGTCTAATAAGAGGAATGCGATTGCTGATTTAATGTGGGATGATTATCTTTCCAATCAGAATGCGGGAATTGATTTCGATTGATATCTGATTTTTTTTCTTGTTTTTAATTTTTTATTTGTTTTTTCGTTTCTATGTAATGGATATAAATGTATTAGACTTTCATATGTAGTAATTGCTTGAATTGAAGATGTTTTGACATTAAGCAGATTTTTTATTTTTTTTCCCCATGTCCTATAATAGTTGACATAAGATTGTTAGAATTTTCAATATTGTAATTGGAATTGTTGTTATTGGAGACATTGTTGACATGCAATTTTCTTAAATGTTTTTATTTATTGGTTGACCATAAACAGTTAATCTTGCACTATACATGGCAAATATTCGACAAGCTCTGCGGCACCTTTTCGAGTTCCTAAACCAACCCTTCATTCAGATGTGGAGGAAATAAGCTCAACCCAAGCGGATCCTAATTCTCGGAATTGTCAAATACGCTGGAGTGATGCAATGGACGGTTGTATGATAACTGCACTACTACATCAAGTGTTGTCTAGTCACAAAAGAAGTGACAATGGCTTTTCATCATATCACGTGTCCAAAGCAATCGAGAACGTGCACAATGGATGCAGAGTCATGGTGTCTGATAAGAATGTGAGGGCCGATTGAAAACTCTAAAAGAAGAATATGTTGAAGTTCGTCAATTGTTAAGCATGAGTGGTTTTGGGTTAGATCCTCACACTGGACGTGTCACAGCCGATGTACTAGCTTGGGAGGAGTTGTTGAAGGTACAAAATTTCATTGACCAATGAAAGTATTATTCCTTAAATATTACTAATCTAATTTATTCTGCCCACTAACTAGCGTAAAACATATTTCACTCTTTTTCTTGTAGGGCAAACCAAAATTTGGAAAGTGGAGGACCAATTATTCTGCCCACTAACTAGCGTAAAACATATTTCACTCTTTTTCTTGTAGGGCAAACCAAAATTTGGAAAGTGGAGGACCAAACTTTGTTCTCGTTATGATGATTTGGAGGCTATCTTTGGAAATGATTCTGCTACAGGAGATCGTGCTGTAACCGGCAATGACTTTTTATCCCCCGATCATGGTACGTACTAGATCGTACATAAAAAATTATATAATTCGTATTATATTAGAGATTCTAACAAATTCTTATTTTATTATTTTTTTAGATAAAAATGTGCATGAAGTTGATGGTCAAAATGAGGATACAGATCCAAGCCCCATTCGCGCTCCTAAGCGTAATGCCGAAGGAGGAACTAACAAAGTTCGCCGTCGACGTACCCAACCTAATGATGAGAGTCTCGTTGCCCTATCAAGCATTGCCGAATCATCTAAAAAATTGCAATTGCTATGGAGACTCAAGCAACATTAGATACGCTAAACCATATCAATTGGCAGTTGGTTCTAGAAAAATTACAAGGCATGAGTATAGAAAAGCGTGACATAATGCAAGTAATGAAAATATTTTGATCGGATGAGAGTCTG